CGATGATTTTGGGGTCCCCCCCCCCGGTTTCGTTCATCTGCTGAGCCACCAGCAGCGCCATCATGGGAACGGCCAGCTCCTCTCTGGGGGGGGTCCCCGCTAATTGGGGGCGTCCCAAATTTGGGGGGGGGTCTCGAGCCCAATTCCACACGGCCGAAGCCCAGCGCTGGGCCGCCTCCTGTGGGACCCCCCCCAAAAAAAAGAAAAAAAAATGACCCAAAATGGCCCAAATTTGGCCCAAAATGGCCCCAAATTTCCCCAGGTTTGGCCCAAAAATAGAGGAAATCTGACCCGAAATGGCAAAAATTTGACCCAAAATGGCCCCAGTTTGGTCCCAAATCCCCCAGATTTGAACCCAAAATAGAGGAAATTCGACCCAAAATGGCAAAAATTTGACCCAAAATAGCAAAAATTCGGCCCGAAATCACCCAGATTTGTCCCCAAAATAGAGGAAATTTGACCCAAAAAGGCCCAAATTTGACCCAAAATGGCCCCAATTTTCCCCAGGTTTGGCCCCAAAATAGAGGAAATTTGACCCCAAATGGCCCCAATTTCGTCCCAAATCCCCAATATTTGACCCCAAAATAGACGAAAGTTGACCCAAAATGTCAAAAATTTGACACAAAATGGCACAAATTTGACCCAAAATAGCAAAAATTTGGCCCCAAATCCCCAAATGGCCCCAATTTCGTCCCAAATCCCCGCTAATTGGGGGCGTCCCAAATTTGGGGGGGGGTCTCGAGCCCAATTCCACACGGCCGAAGCCCAGCGCTGGGCCGCCTCCTGTGGGACCCCCCCCCAAAAAAAGAAAAAAAAATGACCCAAAATGGCCGAAATTTGGCCAAAAATAGGAAAAATTTGGCCCCAAATCCCCCAGATTTGACCCCAGAATGGCCCAAATTTGACCCAAAATGGCCCCAATTTGACCCAAAATAGGAAAAATTTGGCCCCAAATCCCCCAGATTTGAACCCAAAATAGAGGAAATTCGACCCAAAATGGCACCAATTTGACCCCAAATGGCAAAAATTTGACCCAAAATGGCCCCAGTTTGACCCAAAACTGCAAAAATTTGGCCCCAAATCCCCCAGATTTGACCCCAAAATAGAGGAAATTCGACCTAAAATTGAAGAAATTTGACCCAAAATGGCCCCAATTTTCCCCAAGTTTGGCCCCAAAATAGAGGAAATTTGACCCAAAATGGCAAAAATTTGGCCCAAAACGGCCCAAAGTTGACACAAAATAGCAAAAATTTGGCCCCAAATCCCCCAGATTTGACCCCAAAATAGAGGAAATTTGACCCAAAATGTCAAAAATTTGACCCCAAAATGGCCCCAATTTGACCCAAAATAGCAAAAACTTGGCCAAAATTCCCCAGATTTGACCCAAAAATAGAGGAAATTTGACCCAAAATGGCTCAAAATTGACCCAAAATAGCAAAAATTTGACCCCAAATCCCCAATATTTGACCCCAAAAATAGAGGAAATTTGACCCAAAATGGCAAAAATTTGGCCCAAAATTGACACAAAATGGCCACAATTCGACCCAAAATAGCAAAAATTTGGCCCCAAATCCCCGATATTTGACCCCAAAATAGAGGAATTTTGACCCAAAATGGCCCCAATTTTCCCCAAGTTTGGCCCCAAAATAGAGGAAATTTGACCCAAAATGGCCCAAATTTGACCCCAAAATGGCCCCAATTTGACCCCAAATCCCCCAGATTTGCCCCAAATTCCCCAAATTTGGCCCCAAATTTCCCCAGATTTGACCCTAAATCCCCCAAATTTGGCCCCAAAAGAGAGGAAATTTGACCCCAAATTGCCCCAATTCAGCCCCATATCCCCCAATATCGCGATTCCCCACCTCATATCCCCCCCAGATCACACCCCTATATCGCGATTCCCCTCCCCACATCCGCCCCATATCCCCCCATATCGCGGTTCCCCACCCCATATCGCACCCCATATCGTGCTTCCCTGCTCCATATCGCGCTTCCCTTCTCCATATCGCCCTTCCCCGCTCCATATCACACCTCATATCGCGGTTCCCCGCCCCATATTGCAGCCCATATCGCACTTCCCCGCCTTATATCGCAGCCTATATCGCGGTTCCCCACCCCATATCGCGCCTCATATCGCGGTTCCCCAACCCATATCGCGCCTCCCCGCCCCATATCGCAGCCCATATCGCGCTTCCCCGCCCCATATCGCACCCCATATCGCGCTTCCCCGCCCCACATCGCACTTCCCCACTCTATACCGCGCTTCCCCGCCCCATATCGCGCTTCCCCACCCCCTATCGCACCCTATATCGCGATTCCCCCGTGGCCTTCCCCAGCTCATCCAGCCCCATGGCGCAGAACGCCTCGCTGTGGGTGTTGCGCTGCAGGCGTTCGGGGCGGCCGCTCCGGCTCAGGGCGAACGCGACGCGGGGAGAACCGGGATCCAACGGGGCGAAACGGAGCAGGAAATCCCCGCCTGCGGGACGGCGGCGGTTATGGGGCGGACCCACACTTATGGGGCAGAGCATCACGCACTTCCGGGGTGCACGCACCACCCCCATATTCCCCCCCATATCGCGGTCCCCGCCCCGTATCCCCCCCTATATCGCGCTTCCCCACCCCATATCGCGGGCTCCGTCCCATATCCCACCCCATATCGCGGTCCCCCCCCCATATCCGCCCTAATATCGTGGGTCCCCACCCCATATCCCCCCC